GCTGTTTGGAAAGCACCTGCTTGTAACTGAGGAAACAGCACTGCAGTCAACATGCTTATCCTGAGTGGGAAACTGCATCTGTCTTGCATAAAGCACGGAATTATATTGTTTTCATATTTTTCCCCTCTACTGTTCCCTCCTAGGTTTCTTCTAGTCAAGTGCTTTGTTGCTGCAAAAGCATAAGTGCTGAAAATAAGCAGACAGGTTAATATATGTGTTTATCTGCCTACCTGAGAAATGCTTAAGAGTTTCATGTTTCTTAAACTCCTTGGGAACTGGAGGTAATTCTTAAGGTGTTCATTCTTGGTTGTTTATAAGTCGTAATATTTTTATTACTATTTTGCTGTATTCTTTTGTTTGTATTGCTGCTTAAAACACAAAACTATTACAAAATGGAGTTCCTTACCTGTTTCTGATCTACCCTAGGAACAAGTTGGGAAGGCTTGGGGCTGGAGGACAAAGCTAGCTATATCATTTTTGTCTTGGATAATCACAGTATGTTATTTATTATGAGGAAACTGAATTTTAGAATTGCAGTGGGAGCTACACTTCTTTATTAAAGCATTGCAAGTTAATTTTATGCAGTACATTGATTTTAATCTTCCAGTGTCTCGAGCTAGTAGCCAGTCATGTTTCCAGAGGGTTTTATTAGTGATGGTAGCAGGTGTTGGACTGCTACTCAAAGAGTAGGCGTTGTATAAACCAGTGCCTTCGGAGGTGACACGAGTTACCTTAAGCTAACTGGGTCTCACCATGTGGTTATGCATGTGATGATGCATCAGCTTGAATTAGAAACATCTCCTAATCTGTAATGGAGTAATTTATAGATGGAGTAAAAGTTGGCTGTGGTTTCGGGCCATTCCCTTGAGACTTGTGCATTAGCTAAAGCAGCTCCCGAAGTCTGTAGTCCTGCAGTGTCTTGCATGTGTTTGTGCATGCAGAGAGGGAAGCATGGGCTGAAAAGGCAAATTCTGGTGCTATGAGATCAGCAGAGGCTCTTCGAGCAGCGTAACGGGTGGCAGGGCTGATAAAGCACAAGACTAGCAAGTGTGGAGTAACAGATTGGGCAGTGGGGGCTCCTTTTTGCTTGTTGACGAGGGGAGGGAGTGCCCTGCTCACCTAGGTTTCAGTGGCTTCAGAAAGGGAATCCATTGCACGTATTTCAACCTGTTTTCTCAGTGCTTTCAACAAAGAAATGCCACTCCTGACATTCTTTCCTCACTAAAGCTGTAATTGCAGCTTTGAGTTATGAACGTGATGCAAAAGAAGTTTTGCCAGTTGTGGCTGAATAAATAGACACAAAAAGGTAAAGTGAGAGGTGGTCAAGACTTTAGTCTTCAGAAAACTGTTTTGTTCTGCTGGCTGATACCTTGTGTCTGTTCAGCACTGAAACAGGCTTTAGAAATCCACAGGATGGAGTTGTATTCTTTATATATATAAAGACATAATATACATAAATATCCTTATGAATATATAAATATCCTTGTGCAACTGTGTATTAAAAGCAGGATTTTGTTTTGCATTCCACTGAGCAGATCAGGGAACTGGTAAAAGAGGGGGAAAAAATCAAAACCCTGATTGCTGGAATGTATTCTAAGAGATATTAACTTCTTACTTCAGTAGTTCTGTTAAAAAAGGTGCAAAAGGTGCACAAGTTCTGATGTAAGAAGGTAAGTTGGGATGGAAAAATAATTTCTTGTTAGCGCTATTGGGGAAAAAAAATCACTTCCTTTCTTATAAGTAAGCCAGATTTTTCTTAGGCTTGAAACAGAAACAGCTACAGATTTATCTGTCTCTTCATTTATTGCTTTTGTGGATCTGTTCATCTGAGACACAACAAGGAATTTCAAGGTTTATTTTGAGTTCTAGTTATGGCCTTGCAAAGGGGAAGAGTGCAGCAGTGGTTTTTATGGTTTGCTGCAGGTCTCTCTTTATTTGATTACAAAAAAAGGGAGCTCTTGGGTTTCTCGGAGTGTCAACCTGCATTAGTCACCGAATAAAACGTATGTGTTATCTCTGTGGAATTCAAACCTGGGGAAGTGATAACAGAGACAAATAATTAGCCTGGCTCTAGCCCACGCCAGTAACTTAGAGCTGGTTTGGCTGTTCCTTGCCTGCTGCAAGTCTGCACTGGCACTGTGTGCTGTGGAACTGGTTACCAGGTCAGGAGTGATCAGGAGGCAGGCAGGAATTCTCGTGTGCTGAAATAGACTTAAAAACAGAATTAAATCCACTTGGCTTTTGACTAATCAGTTGTTGTCAATTTTTTTTTTTGTTTTCCCATATTTCTCAGCTCTATCTTCTGCATGATGGTGCTTAGAGTTAATCTTTGAGAACAATTGCAGTCCTTGAAGCAAAATACTATTTTTGAAGCACAAACAAGGTGGCAGTGTCCTATCTTGTTTGCAGTAGAATTTTTCCATATAAATGATAGATGTTCACGTCTGCATTTATGCTGCTAAATTTATCGCAGTGTCTGAAGACGAGAGCAAATAAGATCCTACACTGAGATGGGAAGGATGCTCACACTGATGGTCTTGTCTCCTGCCATCACTTAGGTTTTCTTCCCCCCCGCCTTTTTTATGCAACTTCTGATCATAGAAGATCTTTGAGAACACAAACTTGTACAGACAACTGGCCTGTTTGTTTTTTCTAATAGAGCTGGTGTCTAAACATATTCTTGGCAAAGCTGTGAGGGAAATGTGCTTTCTCCATATGTGGAATCTGTCCGAGTTGCACTATCTGAGTGGGAATGTAAACAAACTTATTCCACTCTGCTTGGGAATTCTGACTTCTGCCAGCAGAACACAGGTGAGGACATATAACGTGGAGATAAAACCAGGTTTTAGCTTTTTTTGGAGCCGTTTATCTTGTTCCACAGACCCAGTACTCACAAGGGTCATTTCTTAAAGCCAGGCCTTGGTTTCCAGTGCTTCCCTCCTGCAACTACTCTGCCTATCTCTGCTGGGCGGGGAGTAACTGCTGCAGTTTCTAGGTGTGAATAACATGCTAAGAAAATACTGTCACCTGCTGAGGTCATGCCAGAAAGTGCTGGGTGGACCTCAGGTGAGCTGTGCTGGCTCAGAACTGCATCAATAAGCAGTTATATGAGTTATATCTGCTGATAAAACTTCAGTCCTTACCTCAGCTATGTGGACATCTCTTCTGAGTGTTGGTGAACTGCTTGTTACCGCTAACAAACTGCTGTACTTTTTATTATTTATTTTTTTATTATTTATTGTGGGATAGATGAGTGGACAGTGAGGTGGATTAGGAACTGGCTGGATGGCAGAGCCCAGAGGGTGGTGATCAGCGGTGCAGAGTCAGGTTGGAGGCCTGTAGCTAGCGGGGTCCCCCAGGGGTCAGTCCTTGGTCCAGTCCTGTTCAGTTTATTCATCAATGACCTGGATGAAGGCACAGAGTGTTCCCTCAGCAAGTTTGCTGATGATACCAAACTGGGAGGAGTAGCTGATACCCCAGAGGGCTGTGCTGCCATCCAGAGGGACCTGGACAGACTGGACAACTGGGCTGTGAAAAACCTCATGAAATTCAACAAGGCCAAGTGCAAGGTCCTGCAGCTGGGGAGGAATAACCCCAGACACCAGTACAGGCTGGGGACTGACCTTCTGGAGAGCAGCTCTGCAGAGAGGGACCTGGGCATCGTGGTGGACGACAAGTTGACCATGAGGCAGCA